TAGCGGAATAAAATCTTACATGAATAATGTAATGATGGCAATCTTATTGATGGTGACAGCTTTTCCTTTAAATGTACGATTGAGGTGGATTATAAGTATTAATAAAAACTTACTACTTTGAATGCAAATACTCTGAATCCCATAACAAGATAGTCAAATTCTTAAATCAAGCTTATATAATAAATATTATCTTGAAATTTCATTCTCTTCAGCAATCTTTTTTTTTTTAGGTATACTTAAGTTCTAGAATCTTTTTAGATTATAGTATTGATGAATCACACAATGAGATTAAATCAAATTAGAATAAAACTATGAAAAAAAGTAATTAATTAGATTCTAAAATTTGAATTTTAGATATAAATTGAATTCTAAATTTCTACTAATAATAATCTTGTTTAGTTTAATTATATTTCTGACTTATATTTGAATCCATTAATTTAATAAGCATTATTCAAACTTTTTGATTATTGATGAAATCCATTCCAAATGTTTATATTAGGAATTTATTGAGTCTTTTGCTAAATTAAGGTTTTGTAATTTAAATGCTCATTTAATTGTTTATTAGTAATTTTTTTTATTATTTAAGTCATATCCACATTATATTTGTAATGATAATGAAAATGATTTCCAAAATCAGCTTTAGATTAATTTATAAAATTTAAACTTAACTTTTTCTTATTAAGCTCATAAATTTGAAATCAAATATCTTATAAAAGTACTCAATTGGATATTTTATTTTTCATTAAATCTTGGCTTTTCTGCATCTATTTTATTAAAAATAGTGCATAAGATTTGTTATCTATTTGGAATTGTTATTAAATATATAATTATGGTATATTAAAAAATTAAACAAGGATGCCTTAAAAAATAAAAAGAGCGATAGAACCTCCCAATTTGTTACACACTTAATGTTTGAAGTTTTTACATTACTCTACATAGAATTTCTGATTAATTTTTATTTGGAATAAATGTCAATATTAATTTTCTGTCAGACATCCTTATTAAGTGAAATATAAATAATTAGTTTATTT